ACAGCTTATCCAAGAAAAGAGGCGTCTGCGACGGGCGTGGCAAACCAATAGATCGCCATGCTCAAAGCAACGTCTAAATAAAGCCACACGCAAACTAAGCCGGGCCCTGAAGCAAGATGCCGAAAAAGCACAATTAAGATATATTGAAAAACTCTCGCCAACCAGCACAAAGCATCCCTTATGGATCATCACCCCGATAAGAAAGTCATCTGGTTGCTGGGCCCGCAGCGACAAAGACAGAGCCGAAACTTTTGCCTCACATCTCCAGGTCGTTTTCCAGCCGAACCCTGCTGCAAATCCATTTGAACTACCGCAAATCCACACTCAAACGGAATCTACTCCAGCATCTTTTCGTCCGAACGAGATAACGAAGGTCATCAGGGAACTGAAGCCGAAAAAGGCTCCCGGCGATGACCTAATAACTCAAAAAATGATAATTGAACTTCCGAATTGTGCTATTGAGGTCTTCAATGGGATCATAAGTCTCGGCCATTACCCAACAAAATGGAAAAAATCTATAATTATAATGATACCGAAGCCCGGAAAAGATCACACGATTCCGTCATCTTACCGACCAATAAGTCTACTATCATGCTTGTCCAAATTATTTGAAAAATGCCTACTAAAGCGCATAATTCCTTATCTGGGAGCTCACAACATCATCCCAGCTCATCAATTTGGCTTCAGAGAAAAACATGGAACTATCGAGCAAGTTAACAGAATAACATCAGAAATTCGCACAGCCTTCGAGCATCGAGAATATTGCAGCGCGATATTTCTCGATGTTTCTCAAGCATTCGACCGCGTCTGGCTCAACGGCCTCCCCACAAGCGACCAGCTAACATTATCCACTTTCGCTGATGACACTGCGATCCTCAGCCGTTCCAGATGCCCAGTCCGTGCAACAGCCCAGCTCGCCAACCACCTCAAGGTAGTCGAGAAGTGGCTATCTGACTGGCGTATCAAAATAAATGAACAAAAGTGTAAGCACATAACGTTCACTCTCAACAGACAAACATGCCCCCCGCTCTACCTGAACAGCACACTGATCCCCGAAGACAACGTGGTAACGTACCTGGGCGTCCACCTGGACATGGCGAAGACATATTGAATGCAAGAAACTTCATCTAAAACTAAAAGCCAGCAGCCTCCACTGGCTCATAAACTACCGATCGCCCCTGTGCCTGGACTACAAGGTCCTGCTCTACAACTCCACACTAAAGCCAATATGGACGTATGGCTCCCAGCTCTGGGGGAACGCGTGCAGTACCAATCTAGACATCATACAGCGCGCCCAATCAAAAATCCTGAGAACTATCACTGGGGCACCATGATATATTCACAACGAAAACATCCACAGGGATCTCGGCATTCCTGCAGTTAAGAACGAAATAGAAAAACAAAAAAGCGTCCTACAAGGAAAAACTCTCCACCCATCCAAATCCTTTAGCAAGGGACTTGATACGAGTTTCCAGGAGAAGCCGTCTACTACGTAACGACCATCCAACCCAGCCATAATTAGTCAGGGCCATTTACTCTGTACCAGTCTCATGACTGCTAGTTAGGTAGTATTGTAAGATTTGATACACTTATTGTTAGTCTCATTAATGAGAAGATTCAATAAATAAAAGCAAAGCTTAAAAAAAAAAAAAAAAATTGTTTAATTCCGAGTCTCCTCCTTCGTAACTCTTTGCATTCCTCACGCTCGTCCTTTTTATATTTCTAAAAGCTTTGATCAGTTTTATTGAGTTTGCATTCTTTTTAATGCCTCTCATTTTAAACACTCAAGGATAAAGATTTTAATGCCATCTATTTTTGTTTATCACATTTAATTTATACGGCCGCATGCCCGGCAAATACTGTATTTATATTTTTAGTCTGTATTTTAGCTGTAAGAAACTTTATTTAGCATTTTTAGAAATAAACATAAAATGTGGTGAAAACTCTGCGGATTGCCTATGGCTAGGGAAACTCCTTCGTGATTATCCGTTAGTAACATTAAGGGCCGACTGTATCTTTATGATTGGGAAAAGATGGCCATGGCAGGGAGGGCGAACTGTGTCCTCAACATCATCTGAGGATCACCCGGAAGTTTGAGCAGGATGGCTACCCAATTTTTCTGCTGTGTTGTATTTGATTTCGCCCCAAACCTCTTGAATTTTGTCGCTGCACGCAAAGTACATATATTATGACTATTTAGGGAATGAGCTGAGGGTAAAGTAGAAGGACAAGATCACCACCCCTACGTAGCCGACGAGAAGCAGCCGGATAATTGCGCGTGCGTCCTTTTTACTTTTATTGACCACCGAGCTTTCGTAATTCGTTACAGGCTAGCGCGCCGGAGACGCACCCGGTATTCGTTTTCGGCGATATAAACGAGAAGCAGGCAACCCCGAAGCGAAGCTGAGATGCGGTGAGCCCTGACCGGAAGTAGGCCGAAGCCCACAAGAGGCAAAGAGGTCGAAGCTAACGCCCCAGCACTAGTTGAGAAGCTAGGAGCAATGCTAGACGAAATGATTGCGAAGTTCACCGACACTAAGAGCAACAACAAGAAGGTAGTACGGCATGTCACACAGGGGACGATTGATTCGATGCAAGCTATGAAGAAGCTACAGCTCGAGATCATTGCCGCACTGACAGACGGCCACAGCAAGGGATCCACCACGTGTGTAAGCCAGCAGACCACCCCCACGATGGCTAGCATGAACTCTAGCGTTGTGCCCGAAAGCAGACCGAGAAATGCGACATGGCAGCAGGTCAAGGCAAAACCCAGACCTAAGAACATAGAAGTTAAAGCTGCGAGCAGCGACAACAAGGGAAGCCGTGCACATCACCCTGCAATGCCCAGGAAGCAGCGCCCCGACGGAATCATAATCAAATGTAACGAGGGAACAAACGCAGACATGCTCAAGATTGTCAAAACTGAGCCCTCCCTACAGGGACTCAAGGACAATGTGCAAGGACTGCGGAGGACAGCGAACTGTGGACTCCTCTTAAGAATGCAGAAAACCCTGGACCCATCCACGCAGCAGTTGCAAGCAGCCCTAAAGACTGCCATCTTCGGTAAAGCAGAGTTGGCGGCTATGAAGGAGACGGTTCAAGTGGAGATCCGCGACCTGGACGACACGACCAGCGCGGAGGAGGTCACCATGGCCCTGTTTGTGAGAGAAGAGTGTGACATACCACGAGTCAACCTCAGACCCGAGCATGCGAGGTTGCTCGAGAAGGGCAGAATCCGGATCGGATGAGTCGTATGCCGCAGCCGAGAGAAAACTGAGCCAAAGCGATGCTACAAATGCATGGCCTTCGGACACACCTCGGTAAGATGCCGAGCCTCTGAGCGCGGACGGTGGGGCAGCCATCTGGAGCTGCTGACAGCCTCCGGGCCACCTATCACAGAGAGCTTCGAGACCTGGCTACGCCAGGGCAAAATGCCAGGCGACTACCATATAAAGCTGCTATATTCCGCCGAGCATGCACATAAATGCATTCAAGGATGTAATCCAGGAGATTGCCCAAGACGCTCGGGGACGATCCCCGGAAATAATTGCCGGGGACTTCAACGCGTGGTCCACCGCGTGGGGGAGCACGGCAACAACTCAGAGGGGAACCGCCTTACTAGATGCCCTGGCGACCCTGGATGTCTGCCTTCTTAACGACGGAGGCAAATGCACATACAGCAAGGCAGGCCGAGAATCAATTATCGACCTAACCTTCGCCAGCCCGGAGCTCACTAGGAACGTCTACTGGGAAGTCACTGACCTCCTCACCTACAGCGACCACGCAGCGATAGTGACAAAGACGAGTCACTCCCTGCCGAGCCTTCCGAATCGGCAACCTGCCTACAAAGTAGGCACTCTAAATGTCGAGGAACTTCTAGAAAACATGGATGGCAATACCATTTCTGGCTACTCAAACACTTGCGCAGACGAGGTATCTGCGAGGATCAAGACAGCTTGCGATGCGGCAATGGAGAGCTCGACTAGAGGACATAGAAGGAGACCAGTCCCCTGGTGGAACCAAGAGATAGCCACAGCCAGGAAAGAGTGCATCTCTGCGAGGCGCAGGTGTCAACGAAACCGTGGACGGCCCATGCAGGAGCTATTTGAGTCTCGCTATAGGGAAAGGAAAAAAGCTTTAAAGGTGGCCATTAGAGCAAGCAAGAGAGAGTGCTTCCAGCAGCTGTGTGACGAGTCCGACCAGGATCCTTTTGGATCTGCCTACAATCACGTCATGGGTAAGCTCAACCGACAGCCGACCCCAACAGCCCAGGAACAGCTTGGAGCGATAATCTCCACCCTCTTCCCTGCACAGCCGCATCTTATGCCACCCAATATAGCGGCGGGCGAAACTATCATCATCAACGAAGAGGAAGTCCTAAGCGCGGTGGCCAGCAGCAAAATATCCAAGGCCCCGGGACCAGATGGCATCCTAAACGCGGCACTGCACGCCATAATCAGGGTAAACACGAGCCTATTCACAGAGCTGTACAACTAATGCATCGGCGAACATACCTTTTCCGAGAGTCTGGAAGCAGCAAACCTCGTGCTTATCCCGAAACCAGGTAAACTGAACGACAATCCTTCCTCATACAGACCCCTCTGTATGCTAAACACATTGGGGAAGATATTTGAGCGCTTCATATGCAGCAGACTGGAGAGAGAAACCGAAGAACGCGGAGCACTCTCGTGCCACCAGTATGGGTTCCGAAAGAAGAGAAGCGCAATCGACGCGATCCGAGAAGTGACCCAACTTGCAGCAATAAGCAATACTGCCTTGTATGTACCCTCGACGTCAAAAACTCATTTAATTCGCCAAACTGGAGCCTAGTCCTGCAGACATTGCAGCGCGCCGGCATATCTGGATACCTGATTAAGCTAGTAGCCGACTATTTCAAAGACCGAGTCCTATTTTATGAATCGGATACCGGCAACCAACAGCATCAAGTCACAGGAGGCCTACCGCAAGGCTCAGTTCTTGGGCCTATCTTGTGGAACGTCATGTACGACGGGGTTCTCAGACTGCCATTACCCCCTGGCTGCGAGGTAGTGGGGTTCGCTGATGACAATGCACTGGTCACGGTGGAGAAGCACCTTACCGAAGGAGTGCTCATAAGCATCAGAAAAATAGTAAAGAAGGTGAGCTTCAGGGTCGGCTCGACTATCATCGAGTCCACCCCGGTGATCAAGTACCTGGGAGTCATGAACGACCACAGGCTGAACTTCAAGACCCACCTGGAAAACGCAGCGGCCAAGGCATCCAAACCTACTGCTGCCATCTCGAGGATGATGGCCAACAACCGCGGCCCCAAGCAGCATAGCAAGCGACTGATAGCGACAGTGGTGACCTCGACCATCCTGTATGCCGCGCCAATATGGGCTGAAGCCATGCAGAGATAGAGATTCCATCCAATTGGGGTGCGATTGCGAAAATGGCAGCATCCGTGATGCAAGAGCTGAGAACCCGGGAGCAGATCCGACGCACCGAGGATACCTGAAGAGAACCGGAGAACGGATCCCTGAAGAGCGGCAACTGACCGCCAGCGGACATTTCTATTTCTTAACCTTACTCTATTTCTTATGTACAATACTTATATCTATTAAATAAAAATAAAAAATAAAATAAAAATAATAAAAAAAACACACTCACACAGGGATGAGGAAGTGAAGTGATATACGAAATACATAGCCTCAACGACTGAAGTGTTCCAAATCGGTTATCGATATTACTATCGATTAGAATATTCTTTTGGACGACTACTGTACAAATTTCAATCAAATCGGTCCCAAAGCTTTTTTAAAACCACGTGTGGAAGTTTGCAAGCTCGTGAATTTTAAGGAATGGAAAAAGAGCAGTACCGATCGGTGATAAGATTCCTATTTTTGGAAGGGAAGTCGCGCTCCGAAATCAAAGAGCGCTGTGTATGGTGGCTCTTCTCCGTCGATGGCGACCGTCAAAAATTTGAATGAATGAAAACAATGAATTTTAACGTGGTCGCATATCCGTTTTTGTTGAGTCACGCCCAGGTGCCCCAAAAACGGCTAGTACGGAGGAAAATATGAACAAAATCCATGACCTCGTATTGGGAGACCGCCGATTGAAGGTGCGCGAGATAGCCGATACAGTAGGCATCTCAAAAGACCGCGTGGGCTATATCCTGCACGAAGTTTGGGGGATGAGAAAGCTGTCGGCGCGATGGGTGCCGCGTTTGCTTACTGCAGACCGATTCGATGCCGAATTGCGAAAAAATCGGCCCCATTTGGCCAAAAAAAAGTTCTTTTCCACCATGACAATGCACCGGCACACACCTCCGCTCTCGCCACCGCAAAGTTGGTCGAATTGCGGTACGAATTGCTGCCCCATCTACTGTATTCGCCAGATTTGGCTCTGTGCGATTTTTTTTTTTTGTTTCCAAACATGAAAAAGCGTGTGAAAGCGTGTGACGTTTAACGCACAATTGAACAAGTAAATAAATAAATAGAAATGGAACAAGTAAATAAATAAATAGAAATAAGAACAAGAATACATAAATAGAAATAATAACAAGAATACAAAAATAGAAATAAGAATAAGAACAAACGCCTGGAGTCACAAAATACAAATAAACACATGATGTCACAAGAGATGTATTAAATCATAAGAAATAAGAATAAAACATGAAGTACAACAAAGACAAAAATAATTTGAAGTCAAAACCCACCGCGAAGAGCACCAGTTTAATTCAAATGCGCGCGCCATGAGCAGAGACAAAGGGTCACACTGGCCCGCTAAGGGTCTGGCCGCACTATTATGGCAAATTTCTTCGGGTGCGACAGCCACACTCGATCGCTCCAGAGCCCTATATAAGGCGAGCCTCAGCCCTTGGAAGGCATTCAGTTTTCGGCCAGCGATCGGCCAAGTCCTCTACAGGAGCAAGGGTAAGCCAACAGGAAGGAGCCGCCTAAGGAGCAAGGACGAGTAAGGTGAGCTTCAGGGTCGGCTCGACTATCATCGAGTCCACCCTGGTGATCAAGTACCTGGGAGTCATGAACGACCACAGGCTGAACTTCAAGACCCACCTGGAAAACGCAGCGGCCAAGGCATCCAAACCTACTGCTGCCATCTCGAGGATGATGGCCAACAACCGCGGCCCCAAGCACCATAGCAAGCGACTGATAGGGACAGTGGTGACCTCGACCATCCTGTATGCCGCGCCAATATGGGCTGAAGCCATGCAGAGATAGAGATTCCATCCAATTGGGGTGCGATTGCGAAAATGGCAGCATCCGTGATGCAAGAGCTGAGAACCCGGGAGCAGATCCGACGCACCGAGGATACCTGAAGAGAACCGGAGAACGGATCCCTGAAGAGCGGCAACTGACCGCCAGCGGACATTTCTATTTCTTAACCTTACTCTATTTCTTATGTACAATACTTATATCTATTAAATAAAAATAAAAAATAAAATAAAAATAATAAAAAAAACACACTCACACAGGGATGAGGAAGTGAAGTGATATACGAAATACTTAGCCTCAACGACTGAAGTGTTCCAAATCGGTTATCGATATTACTATCGATTAGAATATTCTTTTGGACGACTACTGTACAAATTTCAATCGAATCGGTCCCAAAGCTTTTTTAAAACCACGTGTGGAAGTTTGCAAGCTCGTGAATTTTAAGGAATGGAAAAAGAGCAGTACCGATCGGTGATAAGATTCCTTTTTTGGAAGGGAAGTCGCGCTCCGAAATCAAAGAGCGCTGTGTATGGTGGCTCTTCTCCGTCGATGGCGACCGTCAAAAATTTGAATGAATGAAAACAATGAATTTTAACGTGGTCGCATATCCGTTTTTGTTGAGTCACGCCCAGGTGCCCCAAAAACGGCTAGTACGGAGGAAAATATGAACAAAATCCATGACCTCGTATTGGGAGACCGCCGATTGAAGGTGCGCGAGATAGCCGATACAGTAGGCATCTCAAAAGACCGCGTGGGCTATATCCTGCACGAAGTTTGGGGGATGAGAAAGCTGTCGGCGCGATGGGTGCCGCGTTTGCTTACTGCAGACCGATTCGATGCCGAATTGCGAAAAAATCGGCCCCATTTGGCCAAAAAAAAGTTCTTTTCCACCATGACAATGCACCGGCACACACCTCCGCTCTCGCCACCGCAAAGTTGGTCGAATTGCGGTACGAATTGCTGCCCCATCTACTGTATTCGCCAGATTTGCCTCTGTGCGATTTTTTTTTTGTTTCCAAACATGAAAAAGCGTGTGAAAGCGTGTGACGTTTAACGCACAATTGAACAAGTAAATAAATAAATAGAAATGGAACAAGTAAATAAATAAATAGAAATAAGAACAAGAATACATAAATAGAAATAAGAACAAGAATACAAAAATAGAAATAAGAATAAGAACAAACGCCTGGAGTCACAAAATACAAATAAACACATGATGTCACAAGAGATGTATTAAATCATAAGAAATAAGAATAGAACATGAAGTACAACAAAGACAAAAATAATTTGAAGTCAAAACCCACCGCGAAGAGCACCAGTTTAATTCAAATGCGCGCGCGCCATGAGCAGAGACAAAGGGTCACACTGGCCCGCTAAGGGTCTGGCCGCACTATTATGGCAAATTTCTTCGGGTGCGACAGCCACACTCGATCGCTCCAGAGCCCTATATAAGGCGAGCCTCAGCCCTTGGAAGGCATTCAGTTTTCGGCCAGCGATCGGCCAAGTCCTCTACAGGAGCAAGGGTAAGCCAACAGGAAGGAGCCGCCTAAGGAGCAAGGACGAGTAAGGTATATTGGTAAAGTGGTAACTAATAGTCGGACCCCGACCATACCTTACGTATATAACTTGCGGAAGACCTTAGGGCCTCCGTGCACGTCTCAATCTTAGAAGACCTAAGGGCCTCTAACAACTTCTCAATCTTAGAAGACCTAAGGGCCTCTAACCAACTTCTCGATCTTAGAAGACCTTAGGGCCTCTACCCACTGATCTCTTGGTGGAAGACCTCAGGGCCTCCGCATATTTCACTAACTTGAAAGACCTTAGGGCCTTCACCGATTACTCTCGCTCATCTAGAAAGATAGACCACTCGAAACCCCAGCACGGGAACGGGCCACGGACCCCAGGGCGACGGAACGCATCTCGAAAAGGACGAGCGGACGGCGGACCACCGGGCGACGAAACGCATCCGAAGAAGGACGACCCAAGCCGGCGTACGTCGAACTGGAGCAGATATTCTCAATTGCCAAACACCAAAACCCCGTCTTACCTCTTTGTACCCTTATCTACAATAAATTGTTTAGTCCAAGTAGGTCGTGGCGAGGAAGCCAGGTGCTCTGCGGCTGGAAGAAGTGAGACGAGGCACAAGGCAGGAAGCAGGGGATGTCGAGCCTCAAAAGGTGAGAATCCTAAGCCTGAATGCAGTTGATTCAACTGAATCTGAATCACTGCAGGGCTGCGCAGGATCTTCTGTCGCAGACGGTGCCGGAGCTTGGCTCGGAGGTGGCAGTCCTGAGCGAACCCTACAGGGTTGGGAGAAGGCTTCGTCCGGGCGAACGTTGGCGGCACTTGGCTGTACAGCTGCTATTTGGCAACCAGTCTCTCACTGGAGGCGTTCGGCAGGATTCTGGATGAGCTGAGCAGCGATTCGGGGTTCGGTAATCGACCTCACCTTCGCCAGTAGCGCGATTGCCATTCGACCCCGCTGGAGGATCAGCGAGGCCTACATCGCCAGCGACCACGAGGCCATTGCGTGCTCGATAGGCACCGCATATCGCTCAAGAGGGTCCTTACTCCCAGATAGGAAGGCGTTCAGGCAAGACACTTTTAGGCCGCGGGCCTTTGCAAACGACCTCGAGGGCTTCACAGCAGAGGAGGGTGATGGAGCCAACGAGTCGGCCAACAAACTAGCGCTTGCTGTAGGAATGCGTGCAACCAAAACATGCTACAGAGGAAGGCGTTTAGGAAGCATCACTCTCCGGTGTTTTGGTGGAGCGAGGAGATTGCTGACCTTTGCCGCAAATGCCTCCGAAGCAGAAGGCTGTTGTAGCGAGCTAGAGGCACCCCGCGCCTTTTTATGTGCAACGATCGCTACAAGGTGGCAAGGAAGGAGCTGAAGATTGCCAGAAAGAACAGCAAAGTACAAGATTTGCTAGGTATTGTCCCACGGTTCGTCGCGGTTGAAACCGTAGGGGAGTTTAAGAGGCATTGGAGAAGATAAGTGAGAGGGAATGCAAGATTTCAAGTTCAAGGGCAAGTGTTGAAACAGATGGATTTGGAACCGCAGTTTGCCTAGTCAGAATAGTTTGATGGCCACTGAGCAGATAAACGACAATTGTAATTTCAAGTTCAAGGCCAGCAATGAATTCGAAAGTGAATTCGCTCCCTCTCTCTTGTGCTTGCGC